GATCACACTGTAACTGTAGGACAAATTGGCTTCATCAACTGCATCAACATGGTGCTTCACATACTGAAATGGAAGGCCTGTATTTGCAGGTAAAGTTAAGTTTATTCACCTCCAACACATAATTCCAAAAATGAACGAAAGTGAGAATTAAACAAGTAACCTTCTGCAAAGTTGATCTTGACGAGGGTGCCAGGGCCACCGTTACCCTGGAGTTCAACGCTCTTGACTACATGAGGGGCTGCCTTGGGGAAAAGCTTGTCGGCTTCAAAAGTGACGGCTTTGAAAAGCCTGGCTGGGGAGATTGGAGAGGTAGTCTCAAACTCGTAATTCACAACACCCATTCTTCTAAATTAATTGGGAGTTTCGAGGGTCGTTTTTTCCAGCTAATAAGAAGATACAAGATGGACGATTGAGCTGTGGGAAGATCTGACAACTTAAGATGCTATTTATAGGCTCATCTTCAAGTTTGGGAACTTTATCTATTTCAATTTTTAATTGCATTTATTTCCAATATTGTTGCTCTTATTTTTCATTGAATTTCTCTTGGTCAAAAATGGCACCCCAGTATTTCTTAGTAAATGGGCCCATTGATGACTTATTTTATTTTAATCTCTTCTTCTTCTTCTTTGTACAAAGATAAAGCAATTAAAAAAGAACTAGTGCCTCATGACTCCTCCATGGGCATCCTCTTTTAGCAATTTTAATATTTAATTGGATCCATATCCAATATAGTTATTAGTTTTCTTTCTCGATTTTTTATATAATTGATTATAGTTATTTGATCAAATTAGATATTTTTTCAATTTTCCGTTTTATCAAGAAAATAAATGCCTTAAAAGAATTTATGATGGTTATATCTTTTTCTTCTAATGCATCTCTTTAAAATTTAAATATTTGATCTAATATTAAATATTACGTAATTCATCCACTAGTCAAAGAACTCAACTGAGAATGCTAAACTTTAATCTAGTCATGAAAAGTGGTGTTAAACTATGTAAAGTGATATATAAATTTTGATGAATTTATATTATATATTTAATATTTTTTACTAAAATACAATTTAAATATTTTTATCCACATGTCTCATTCTTGTAAATCAATTGGGAGTTTGAAAGGTCCTCTTTTGTGCCAAAAAAAAAGAGCCAAGATGGATGTTTTGAGGTGTGGGAAATTATGACAACAAAAGAATAAAGATGGTATTCGTAGGCTGATCATGAAACTAAGGAACTTTATTTATTTCAATTTTTAATTGTCCAATATTGTTATATTATTTTTCATTGCCTTGGTATCGGTCAAAAATGGCATCCCTGTATTTCTTTGTAAATGTCTCATCGATGACTTATTTTATTTTTTAATTGTATCTATATCCAATATTGTTATTAGTTTTCTTTGATTTTTTATATAGTTGATTATAGTTGTCATTTTTCCTTTTAATTAATAAAACCGGGGGAAGTTAGCAAGTTTTTCTATTTTCTATTTTATCAAGAGAATAAATATAGTTAATAATCTCTAGAGCAGATAATTAAAAGTTCTTACTTGATATCTTTATTTTCTCTTAGATTGTAACTTCATTATCTATTATGAATAAAATTCATTTTCTCCTTTTCTCTAGATAGAAATTGTTTAAAATAAAATAAGTTTTTAATAAGAATTTAATATAATTAAATTATTTTATATTTTAATATATATATATATATCTTTAAAATATTAATATTTGGTATATTGTTAAATATTAAATAAATCACCAACAAGTCAGAGAACTCAATTGAAGATGCTAAACATGAATCATCAACTAGTTATTCATTTTAGATATTGTATAATTTAATTCGCCTCTCCACCGCTTACTTTTTTTACTTTTTAATTTTTGCATGATTGATAGTAATATTAAATTTAATGTTAATTGTGGACGGTTAATATTTTTTTATTTTTTATTTATTTTTATATTCTAGCATTCTTACAACCTATTCTATCTAGAGAAAAATGAATTGATAGTAATATTACTTTTTTATTTTTACTTTTATATAATTTAGTTCGAACATAAAATACTACTACAACCTATATGTCAAATACATACCAAAGCATCATCATATAACTAATACATGTCAACTAGTAATATCAAAAGTAAACATCTAAAGATGTCATACAACTACTGATGAGACAACCTTTAATTTACGATATCAGTTGCACTACCTTACTCCGATTGTACGTTATTAGCTAGGCATGAAACTATCACACGTTAAGTTTTCACTTAGTGAGACATACATAAATAAAACATTTAAAAACATGAGTAAACCATTATAAGATCAAAATACGATTTATCATATAAAATAGATAAACACATAAAACTGACTTGATAAGTCAAGTTTTCGTCAAATAACCTACGAAACAAAATTTAGTATACCAACATACCTATCAATCGATATATTCAAAAGTATTTATTCATAGCTCAATGTATATCAAATGAGAATGCAAGGTATATGAGTTGCACATAAGTGCTAAACGAAAGTATATGTATTATAACAACAACGACACTATACTAATTATCGAAATGATAATTCATAAACTCATTATGAATAACATGAATGCACACATAATGCCGAAAGTACATAAAAGTATTGATATGAAAATATAACATATGCATTAAACAAAATTGATCGATAATCATCATACTTCAAGTATGTCGAAATGCACCTATGACTCTCAATGCACATACAATAGGCCTTTAAATCAAATTTGCTGATTAAACATTTATTATGAAACATAGATAGTTGTTAAAATAATATAAAAGTTCATATATTTATTTTAGGGCAATTCATACTTTAAAATTATTCGTAAAATCATTTTCATAAACTTTATGAAAATATTTTAAAATAGTAAAACATGATTTTATAAAAATATTAAAGGTCGACTCATCGCAAATCGTCATCATATCATATAAGTACATAATAAATGCATTTACCTGGTATGTCTCTCTTATGCCTTACTAACAAAATCCGACTATTCTTGAACTTTTTCCTCGCCTTTTGGTTTTCTTGTATCACGAATTTGATTACGGTCTACACAAGTATCCATAATCACACATACAAATATAAATTAATATGTTAGTATCCTTACTAACATTTTTTACAAAATAATAATACTTAAAAGTACTATTATTTTCAAATTATTTTGAAATTCATCTTAACTTTTCATTTTTAATCATAATGGCCCTTGTCATAAATTCTTCAATTAAGCCCAAAATAAGCCCAATAAATTTTCAGCATTTAATTTTCAGCCCAATGCCTCAACAATGTCATATTTACTACTTAAGTCACTAATTTTTTTAATATTTATCATTTTGTACTTAAACTTTTTCAACTTTCTGAAATAGCTAAATATTACATTTTAACTTAAATTTCAGTCCCCAAATAGACATTTCCAGCATAGTACAATAATTATTGAACAAGTATACAACAACCCACAATTTTTTTTTCAAAATTTCCAAATAAGTTCCTCAACTTTTGAAAAATTACTCATTGACCCAAATTTTTTTCTAAGGCTTGTAGAACCTTCCAAATATCATTTCTAACCCATAGGAATTTTCAACAAAATTTTCCAACTTATTTCCTCAAGGTCGAATGCTTTAGGGTGTAAATCTCATGATTTTCACTTGATTCAAACATGAAACCAACCTCTATTCAACATTTCAAGACCTCTACAATCAAACCCCTAAATTAATTTCATCAAAATACATCTTTCCCCTAAAGATAGGATTGAGCTTATATAGCCATGTACAAGTGATTTTAATCATCAATCATGCTTGTATATGAGTCTACAACATCAAAAACATCAAAATCGTTTATTAATTCCATAAATCCTAATGTGAACACAAACCCTAAAAGTTGGGAACTTTCAACACAAGCAAGATTAGGATACAATATTAGTACCAAATGATAGCGTTTTTCGTGTATAACTTTCTATTTCATGGCACGATCCAAAAACCAAAGGAAATTACTTAAAAAATTGAAAAGAAAATTTTTCTTACCTTTGGAGGAGACTCACTACTTGGTGGTTGATTTTAGGCTAAGTTTCATGAAATTTCTAAACTTAATTTCATGTTAATTTAGTCATATTTAAGCTTAATGAATTTAATATTAATTTAATTATGAAAAGACCAATTTACCCTTAATAAAACTTCATAATTACCATCAAACCAAGCTACATCAAACTTATCATCTTCCAAAATTTAAATATTAACAAATTATTTCACCCTTTCCGTTTTGTCCATGTAACTTTCAAAAAAATTCAATAATGTCACTTTAATCCAACGGTCTAAATTTAACATGAAATTAAATCCTCAAACTCAATGATTCATATTATTTTTCATCATTTTAAAATAAGGATATAATATTTTTAAACCCAATTTATCAGCCTTGAATTTTTCTTAAAATATATATTCGATCCGATTTATCGATTTCTTATTAAACTTTAACCATTTCTAATTTTTAACATAAATTCCGGAGTAAAATCTTGATTTCAATAAAACCTCAATTTCAAAAATAAACTATCTATGTAATAAAAATTATTTTTAGGAAAATTATTACTTAGATCCCTAAACTTTCCACTTTTATACTTTGATCACTAAACTTTCAAAACATACATTTTAACCACTAACCAAAATTTTGGGTATTTCATTTCTGCTAAAATAGTATCAATATAGTTATGGACTGGGTCTCTCGCCACTTTAGGTTCATGCCTAGGAAACAAAAGGGGTTTGGAGTGAAACGGTCCTAGTTTAATGCAAAAGATTTCATGAAGAAAATGTTTTTTTTTTCAAATTTATTTCTCAACACTGTAGGCAGGTAGAACCCAATTCTTTTTGCAATTTTATGTGTTCATTTTATTTGATGAAAGACGATACAACTCAAACTGTAATGGAAATAAGGATGATGAAATCCCGGCGACCATACCGTGTCACTCTTATTGGAATAAGCAAACGACAGTATTGGTTTTAAGATGAAAAAGGAAACATGAGGGTCTTAGTTGCAGACAGCGGGGTTAGCCAAGAGGTAAGCTTCAACAGCCTTGTAAACTCCATCCATTCTTTGAATTTGTTCCTTAATTTCATCCTCAGTGAAAGCGGAATCACCGATAGTGAAAAACTTCATTGAGCTCTTCACAAGGGTCCCTTCACCTGCAGCTGCAACCAACTTGTTGTCGAAAGATATTTTCTCAAGCTTGGCTCCCAAAGGCCCACCTCCGATCACACTGTAACTGTAGGACAAATTGGCTTCATCAACTGCATCAACATGGTGCTTCACGTACTGATATGGAAGGCCTGTATATGCAGGTAAAGTTTAGTTTATTCACCTCCAACACATGATTCCAAAAATGAATGAAAGTGAGAATTAAACAAGTAACCTTCTGCAAAGTTGATCTTGACGAGGGTGCCAGGGCCACCGTTACCCTGGAGTTCAACGCTCTTGACTACATGAGGGGCTGCCTTGGGGAAAAGCTTGTCGGCTTCAAAAGTGACGGCTTTGAAAAGCCTGGCTGGGGAGATTGGAGAGGTAGTCTCAAACTCGTAATTCACAATACCCATTCTTCTAAATTAATTGGGAGTTTCGAGGGGACTTTTTTCGAGCTAATAAGAAGTGAAAAGATGGACGATTGAGCTGTGGGAAGATCTGACAACTTAAGATGCTATTTATAGGCTCATCTTCAAGTTTGGGAACTTTATTTATTTCAATTTTTAATTGCATTTATTTCCAATATTGTTGCTCTTATTTTTCATTGAATTTCTCTTGGTCAAAAATGGCACCCCAGTATTTCTTAGTAAATGGGCCCATTCATGACTTATTTTATTTTAATCTCTTCTTCTTCTTCTTTGTACAAAGACAAAGCAATTAAAAAAGAACTAGTGCCTCATGGCTCCTCCATGGGCATCCTCTTTTAGCAATTTTAATATTTAATTGGATCTATATCCAATATAGTTATTAGTTTTCTTTCTCGAATTTTTATATAATTGATTATAGTTATTTGATCAAATTAGATATTTTTTCAATTTTCCGTTTTATCAAGAAAATAAATGCCTTAAAAGAATTTATGATGGTTATATCTTTTTCTTCTAATGCATCTCTTTAAAATTTAAATATTTGATCTATTATTAAATAGTACGTAATTCATCCACTAGTCAAAGAACTCAACTGAGAATGCTAAACTTGAATCTAGTCATGAAAAGTGGTGTTAAACTATTTAAAGTGATATATAAATTTTGATGAATTTATATTATATTTTTAATATTTTTAGAGAACAAAACGAATACTTTGTTCAACCGACCATATATATTTTCTGTAAAGAAACACACTTTAGTTGTCATAAGTGGGAAAAGGAAAATATATTATAATATAATTATAATTACAGTCAAATTCTTTGGGAGGAATTGGACTATATCTAGAACCAAATTCTTTTCAAATTATTAAATTTTCAAATTCGTTTAAAGTTTATTTGACTTCAAATATTTTGTTTCATATGAGCATTCTAGAAAACGATATATCACGGGATTAACTATCTAATACATATTATCAAGTGCTTTATTTATATTTTTTATTCAAACAAAAAAGCTTGATCTTATGGATCCGATATCGAAATATTATCTTCAAGTTTAAAATATGTTGTCTGTCCCATAAATAAAATTAAAATTTAATTTTTATAATGAAAAGAAATAATTTCAAAATAATTTTATAATTATCATTATTTTGTAACATGGGTGAGTATTCCATATACTATCAATATATTTACGGACTAATTATTTTCATCCACTCGAGTTTGTATATATTTCTTGTAACACCCATTTTCTATATACATTCACGTATATGAGTCATAGATGTTGACTTTTTAAAATACTTTCATATTTGAAAACCAATAAAATTTTATTTCTTTAAGTAAAACAATTTAATATAATAATATTATAAACGTTCATTAACTACTAGTATGTAAAATAACATTAAAGTTCGAACATAATATACTACTACAACCTATATGTCAAATACATACCAGAGCATCATCATATCACTAATACATGTCAACTAGTAATATCAAAAGTAAACATCTAAAGATGTCATACAACTACTGATGAGACAACCTTTAATTTATGATGTCAGCTGCACTACCTTACTCCGATTGTAAGTTATTACCTACGCGTGAAACCATCACACGTTAAGTATTCACTTATTGAGACATAATAACATAAATAAGGCATTTAAAAACATAAATAAATCATTATAAGATCAAAATATTATTTATCGTATAAAATACATAAATGCATAAAAATGACTTGATAAGTTAAGTTTCCGTCAAATAACCTACGAAACAATATTTAGTATGTCCAACATACCTATCAATTGATATATTCAAAAGTATTCATTCATAGTTCAATGTATGTCAAATGAGAATACAAGGTACATGAGTTGCACATAAGTGCTAAACGAAAGTATATGTACTATAGTAACAACGACACTATACTAATATATCGGAATGGTGATTCACAAACTCATTATGAATACCATGAATGCACACATAGTGCCGAAAATACATAAAGGTACTAATACGAAAATGTAACATATGCAAATGCACCTATGGCTCTCAATGCACATACAATAGGCCTTTAAATCAAATTCGCAGATTAAACATTTATTATGAAACATCGATAGCTGTTAAAATAATATAAAAGTTCATCCATCTATTTTAGGGCAGTTCATACCTTAAAATTATTCGGAAAATCATTTTCATAAACTTTATGAAAATATTTCAAAATACGATAAAACATTATTTTAAAAAAATATTAAAGGTTGACTCATCGTAAGTCGTCATCATATCATATAAGTACATAATAAATGCATTCATCTGATATGCCTCACTCCTATGCCTTACTAACAAAATCCGTCTATTTTTGAACTTTTTCCTTGCCTTTTGGTTTGCTTGTATCACGAATTTGATCAGGATCTACACAAGCATCCATAATCACACATACAAATATAAATTACAATGTTAGTATCCTTACGAACATTTTTTTACAAAATAATAATACTTAAAAGTAATATTATTTTCAAATTCTTTTAAAGTTCATCTTAATTTTTTTAATCATAATGGTCATTGTCATAAATTCTTCAATTCAAACCCAAAATAAGCCCAATAAATTCCCAACATTTAATTTCCAGCCAGATACATTAACAATGTCATATTTACTAATTAAGTCACTAATTTTTCTAATATTTGCCATTTTGTAATTAACTTTTTCAACTTTCCAAAATAGCTAAATTTTACATTTTAACTTAAATTTCAGTCTCCAAATAGACATTTCCAGCATAGTAAATAATTATTGAACAATTATACAACAAACCATAACTTTTTTAAAATTACCAAATAAGTCCCTCAACTTTTGTAAAATTACACATTTGCCTAAAAAAATTCTAAGGCTTGTAGAACCTTCAAAATATCATTTCTAACCCATAGGAATTTTCTACAAAATTTTCGAACTTATTTCCTCAAGGACGAATGCTTTAGGGTGTAAATCTCATGATTTTCACTTGATTCAAGCATGAAACCAACATCTACTTAACATTTCAAGACCTCTACAATCAAACTCCTAAATTACTTTCATCAAAATACATATTTCCTTTAAAGATAGGATTGAGCTTATATAGTCATGTACAAGTGATTTTAATCATCAATCATGCTTTTATATGATTCTACAACATCAAAAACATTTATCAATTCTATAAACCCTAATGTGAATGCAAACCCTAAAATTTGAGAACTTTCAACACAAGCAAGATTAACATGCAAAATTAGTACAAAATGATAACGTTTTTCGCGTAAAACAACATTTTATTTCACAGCATGATCCAAAAACCAAAGGAAATTACTTAAAAAATTGAAAAGAAAATTTTTCTTACCTTTGGAGGAGAGTCATTGCTAAACTTAATTTCATGTTAATTTAGTCTTAATTAAGCTTAATGAATTTAATATTTATTTAATTATGAAAACACACTTCATAATTTCTATAAAAAACAAGTCACATCAAACTTATATCTTACAAAAGTCAAAGATAACAAATTATTTCATCCTTTATCATTTTGTCCATACAATTTTTAAAAAATTTCAATCTTGTCATTTTAATCAAACGGTCCAAATTTAATATAGAATTAAATCTTTAAATCCAATGGTTCATATTATTTTTCATCATTTTAAAATGAGGAAATAATATTTTTAAACACAATTTATCATCCTTCAATTTTTCTTAAAATTTCTATTTAATCTGATTTATCAATTTTTAACATAAATTTCAGATTAAGAATCATATTTCAATAAAAACCCACTCATAGTAACTAACTATTTATGTAATAAAAATTATTTTAAAAAAAATTACCAGTAACTTTCCACTTTTATATTTTGCCCATTAAACTTTCAAAACTAACATTTTGGCCACCAACCAAAATTTGAGATATTTCATTTCTGCTAAATTAGTATGAATATAGTTATGGACTGGGTCTCTCGCCACTTTAGGTTCATGCCTATGAAGCAAAAGGGATTTGGAGTGAAACAGTCCTAGTTTAATGCAAAAAATCTCATGAAGTAAATGGTGTTTTTCCCCCCAATATATATCTCAACATTGTAGGCTTGTACCCAATTCTTTTTGCAATTTTATGTGTTTATTTTATTTGATAAAAGACGATACAACTCAAACTGTTCGACTATTATGGAAATAAGGATGATGAAATCCCGATGACCATACCGTGTCACTCTTATTGGAATAAGCAAAGACAGTATTGGTTTTAAGATGGATCTTAGTTGCAGACACCGGGGTTAGCCACGAGGTAAGCTTCAACAGCCTTGTAAACTCCATCCATTCTTTGAATTTGTTCCTTAATTTCATCCTCAGTGAAAGCGGAATCACCGATGGTGAAAAACTTCATTGAGCTCTTCACAAGGGTCCCTTCACCTGCAGCTGCAACCAACTTGTTGTCGAAAGATATTTTCTCAAGCTTGGCTCCCAAAGGCCCACCTCCGATCACACTGTAACTGTAGGACAAATTGGCTTCATCAACTGCATCAACATGGTGCTTCACGTACTGATATGGAAGGCCTGTATATGCAGGTAAAGTTTAGTTTATTCACCTCCAACACATGATTCCAAAAATGAATGAAAGTGAGAATTAAACAAGTAACCTTCTGCAAAGTTGATCTTGACGAGGGTGCCAGGGCCACCGTTACCCTGGAGTTCAACGCTCTTGACTACATGAGGGGCTGCCTTGGGGAAAAGCTTGTCGGCTTCAAAAGTGACGGCTTTGAAAAGCCTGGCTGGGGAGATTGGAGAGGTAGTCTCAAACTCGTAATTCACAATACCCATTCTTCTAAATTAATTGGGAGTTTCGAGGGGACTTTTTTCGAGCTAATAAGAAGTGAAAAGATGGACGATTGAGCTGTGGGAAGATCTGACAACTTAAGATGCTATTTATAGGCTCATCTTCAAGTTTGGGAACTTTATTTATTTCAATTTTTAATTGCATTTATTTCCAATATTGTTGCTCTTATTTTTCATTGAATTTCTCTTGGTCAAAAATGGCACCCCAGTATTTCTTAGTAAATGGGCCCATTCATGACTT